AAAAAAATTAAAATATAAATTATAATTTTAAAAAACAGAAACAAGGAAAAAAGACAAAAGAGAAAAAGGAAAAACAGAAAAGGAAAAGGAAAAGAAAAAGAAGAAAAACAGAAAAGGAAAAACAGAAATGAAAATAAAAAAAATAAAAAAAATACTATTCTTGTGATAGAACATTATTCAATATAAATTGTGATTAAAATGTAAATTGTACTCAAATTTGGGGACAAAAAGACAAGAGAGAAAGAGAGGGCTTCAACTTAATAAATTATCATTAAGCACATTACAATTCGTTACAACGATCTTAAAAAAAAGGAGTACAATATATATACCCTAAAATTATCCCAAAACCTAAGCATTCCGTGCGCAGGGGACCAGAGGTCACATATCGTCGGATTATATTTCGGTTTCCCTAAGCTCACGTAGGCGTACCCGGTATGAGAAACAAGAGTTCCCGAAATATTTGCCAACTCCAATAGTTCTTTTACCCTCAATCGTCACTACCCGTTCCAGTACCGATAGTGGTAGCGGTAGTATCTCCGTCGTTAAAGAATTCGGATTCATTATTCCGATCTATCTCTTGTTGCCGGTATTGAGCCTTCGTCCAATCAGCAACACAAGCTTGCATCTCCACTAATTCTAGATCTAATCTTGAACGATGTTCGTTCAAAATATTACCTCCGGCACTGAATGCTTGTTCGACCGCAACTGTGGAACAAGGGGTTGAAAAAATCTGTTTTGCAATAAGAGAAAGGATTGGGTATTGGCTTGCGTGCCTCTTCCACCAATCCAAAATAAAAAAATCTGTACCACCTTCGGCTTCAGTAAACTCAAATAAAATGGTTAGATAACTCTCTAATTCAGAAATATTTCCTATTACTCCCTTTTGTTTTTTTTGTCTATGTAATAAAAGTTGGTACCCTCTACTAATTTTACCTGTACTGTCATTTTGTATCTCCGTAGATTGAGAAGATCTAATATCACCTAAATTATATTTAGTATAAAATTCATTATATAATTCTATTACTACGTTTTTAACCTCACGTACTATGGTTGTAACATTTGTCACATCATAATGTAAACATTGATAATACGCACGCAAAAAATCATTTAAGCCATCCAATTTGCAACGCGGATAAAAAACACAAGCAACTAAATAAATCATGGGAATTTCACTATAATAATGAAGCCATTTCATTTTCATTGCAACTATAGTATGTTGTAATTCAACATCATTTTCATATTCATCAAAAGTTCCGACAATATTAGTACATTCTACTAAAAATAAATGTGTAGTAGGATAATAAACACCAGACAAAGTATAAGTTGCATCATTAAAAACCTTTAAAAGATCTAAAATTTTTTGGCAAATATGCCACTCTTGTGGGTATAAATTAATCTCAGGTATATTATTAGAAATGAATGCACATAATAAATCTTTATATGCTAAAGATTCACTAAGCAAGTGGAAAGTAGAATTCCAACGAGTTGGAACATCTCTTGGAAATCTTTTTGGCTTTTTGCCATTATCTCTACAAAATCTACCCCATTCTTTCATTTTTTTGAGATGTTTCCATAAAAATTGAATCGCCGTTTTTATTGATTGAAGAAAAATATCAAGAGTTTTCAAACCATCTTGTACACATAAATTTAAAACATGACAAGCACATCTAATGTGAAAAAATTTTCCGCCAAAAGCGGGTTTACAAATATTTTCTAACTCGGCAATTGAAGCGATATTTGCTGCGGCATTATCAAAACCAATTGAAAAAATTTTGTTAAGCAAATAATATTCTTCTAAAACTTGCCTAATTATTCTATAAATATTATTTGCTGTATGATGATCATCGAAAACTCTAAATGCAATAACTCTTTTTTGAATAGTCCACTCGTCATCTATCCAATGACATGTTATGCCCATGTAAGAATGATTCTGCCAATGATCACTCCAAATATCACTACCTATATGCACGCATCCATTAAATTGCATAAAAAAGTTTTGTAAATCATTTTTTCCATTTTTGTAAAGATCTTTAATTACTCGTTTAATTGAATTTCTAGGAACACGTTTTGCTTGTGGAGCACATGCTTTTTGTACAAATTCATTAAAACCAAATCTTTTCTCCAAAATTAAATGCTAAATGCTCAACGGAAATAAATTTACCTAATTCTTCCTTATAAGTTTTTCCATTAAAACGAAATAAAGGGGAAGTGTTAGGATTGACGTACCCGGAAATTTGTTGTTGCCCGATATCGATTCCCGTTTCGGTTGGATGTTTGCTCATAAGATGTCGTTTAAATGTTCCATATCCTTGTCCACCTGTATATTTATATATTTTTCCACAATATTTACAAATTATATCATACCTTTTTTGACCGATATCAAACCTTTCCATTTTCGTGAAGTGATTCCAAATGTCAGATGTAAATTCCCGTTCCGCTTCCTTTGTTGTAGATATTTCAGCAGGAGGATGAAAACTTTCTTACGTCGGGACGCGCTCCACATCGTGAAAAATGTTGATTTCATCATCTTGAAAATCTGCATATTCACGAGGATCAAAAGAATGATGGGATTCCGTCGCGATATTCTTACCTTTGCCAGTTGGCACTCGACTTCCACTTGCCATTTTTCGAATGGATTGAGAGAATTGAGCGGATTAATTGGGAGAATTAAGAAAGAATTGCGTGGATTGAGAAAATTGAGAGAATTTCAGAGAATTTGAGAGAATTTCGAGTATTGAGAAAATTTGAGACTTGAGAGAAGAGAATTTGAGAGAATTGTGTGTGTATTGTGAGAATTTGAGAGAATTTATAGGAAAAAAATAGAAGAAAATTTAGAATTAAAAAAAATAAAACATAACCGTTGCAATTTTGCAACGGTTATGTGTTTTTTTTTTTTTTTATAAAAATGCCCGTTGGGGCGTAGCCGTTGCCCCAACGGGCCGCAAGGCGCAATGTGCAAGCCCGCAGTAGGGCCTGCACGTCTGCAGGCCCTGCTGCGGATAAAATTTTTTTTTTTTGGGTTTGGCCGTTGGTTGGCCCGTTGCGATGCAACGGGCTGCCGCAGCCGCCGTCGGCGAGCATGGCCTGCAATGCAGTCAGGCCGCAACCCGCCCGCAGCCTTTTTTTTTTTTTTTAAATTTTTTTTTTTTCGCAGAACTGGCCCGGAACCGGCGGTTCCGGGCCGGTTCAAATTTTTCTGGAATCGGGACCGTATGCCACGGGCCGGTTCCGGTTCCGAACCGCGGGCCCGGTCAACGGGCCGGGCCTGGGTTTGACCGGGCCGGTTCCGGTCCGATTCCGGGCCAAAACCGGCTAGTGGCCACCTCTACCGAGGACCGCCCTCGCCGGATCTGACGAGAATAAAATATTTTAATAAAAAATATTATTAATAAAAAATATTTTACCGGCCATGGCCGGGTCGCCGGCCATGGCCCAAAAAATAAAAATGTATATTTTTAATAAAAATATTTTAATAAAAAATATTATTAATAAAAAAATTATTTTACCGGCCATGGCCGGCAACCAGGCCATGGCCAAAAAAAATAAAAATATATATTTTTAATAAAAAAAATATTTTACCGGTCATGGCCGGCGACCAGGCCATGGCCAAGAAGGAGGAAAAGAAAAAAAAAAGAAAGAAATATTAAAATATTTAAAAATATTATTAATAAAAAGAAATTTTGTGGCGTTACCAAACGCATTTCTGTTCTTTTTCTATTCCAGGGATGGAATTTTGAGCCGTTAAGAAACGCCTTAAAATGCTTAAAATCAATTCCGGGTACAGAATAAAAAAGAATCATTTCTCAGCACAATCTGTTCCCGGGCACAGAATCGTTGTCATGCGCAGCCTTAACTAGTTTATGATCCTTGTTCTTTCTCCGTCGGTAGTGAAAAGTTCTTTTCATAGGTCGTGCTAAGTTCTAGACGGATATATTAATTAAACTATAGAAAATCACTAATCGTTTTGTAAATAGGTTACAATCTGACACATCATATCCTAACACTATGATGGACAAAATTAAATTCATTAAAGGTAAAGTTAAAATTTAAAGAGATGACAAAATAACCTAATTAAGAAAGACCGACTGTAGTAAAGATATACATGGTTTATTAAATTGAGCTAATGATAAAATAATTTTATCTACAAACCCCCATAAAATTATAGTTTTTAAACTAAAAAAGAATTAAAAGCATGTCATCATCACAAATAAAGAATTAAAGTTTAGTTTATCTTGTTCGAATTTGGTGGGTGAAAATTTTTGATCAAATGGAGAAACTCACTCAATTTAAATTTAAACAAATATAGAACAAATTAATGATATGTTTTTGTAAGAAGACAATTGTTCAAATATAGTTTACTTTATTTGATTAGTTGAATTCAATATGTTGACGCATAAGTCATTCTTATTGTTACTTGAATAAAAATAATACAATTCTAATGAAGGATCGCTTATTGAAATATACTTTCTCATATTTCCTCCAATTAATAATAAGAAAATTAGACAGAACAAAAACCCCGTTACCTCAACTTTACAATCAAAACAATATTTATCTTAAACAGGCATTATGTTTTTAAAATATATAAATTTTTATAATAATCTGTTGAAAATATAACATACTTACATTTTATTGAGTTTAATTTCTGCTTTTCAAATTCTCTTATTTTTAAGTATATTTTTTTATGATGCAACAAATTCCTTTGGAACGATAATTAAAATTATTTATAAATTAAGTTTTTTTAGTTAATTCTGATTGTTGTTTTGGTAAAGTTAATATTTATCTTAAACTTGCAGTTTACCTTCAGAAATAAATAATTGAGATAATACCTTATTCAAAAACATAACGTATTTGTATTTCATTTAATCTAATTTTCTGCTTTTTAAGATACACTTAAAATAAGTGTATCTTTCGTGATGCAACAAATATACTTACTTTGGAGCAACAACTGAAAATTTTCAGTTTGTTGTAGTACAATTTTTAATTAGTTAATCAAATCGATATAATAACAAATATTGAGATGCCCATGCAGAGCGCGGACCGAATAACTACTTACTATCTAATAATCGTACTGTTTTCCAACTTTCCAAATGACCGAAAATCGCCAATCACTATACAAAAACTAGTGCTAGTCATAAGAAAAATGTACAGTTATTGAGTATAAGCTGCATATTGACCACTAAATCTTTTGAAATCTCATTTCTGTCCAGTGAAACATACAGTTCACATCGTTTTAGCTGCTGAAACTGGACTTGACCTCGTTGTGTACTCTGCTACGAGCTGTGCGAACAACGAGGATTCCTTGTCTAGCAGTCTTTTTGGAGAATCATGTTCAGCAACAAGGCCTGGACACAGATTCACATACACAGAGAGAGATACTGATGAAGCATGAGCCAAACATGCAAGGCCGAGATGAGATCGTGTTATGAAATACTAACCATGGTCTAGAAGAAGAACAATGTCGCTGTCGAGAACAGAAGTGATCCGATGTGCAATGGTAATAACAGTACAGTCTGAGAAGTGATGCCTCAAAGTTTGCTGAATCAGATTATCGGTAGCTGTATCAACGGAAGCAGTGGCTTCATCAAGTACTAAAATCTTGCTTTTCTTGAGCAGGACGCGACCGAGACACACAAGCTGCCTTTGTCCCATGCTCCAGTTCTCACCGTTCTCTGAAACTGCAGGCCAAGTATATCATGAGCGACCTAAAAATAAGTACAATTTTTTGTCCCGGTATTTTTCTACAGTTTAATTTCTGAATTGCTACAGAATTTGGGCCGGTAATAGAAGCACAAACAAGTACAGTTGAAGAAAAGGCCGAACCTGGCGAATCCAGTTTCCCTTCTTTCTTCCTTACTTCGTCCCCGAGTTGGCACTTATTCAATGCCTAAAATTACAGGATAGATTAGCTTTTGCTGACTATGGTTTATGTTGCATGAGCTAGAAAAGAACTTCTAATCGTGGAAATTTTGTTATTAAACTGGGGAAGAAAATGAACCGACCTCCCAGATCTGATCTTCAGTGTATTCCTCAAGAGGGTCAAGGTTGCTTCGCACGGTGCCCTCAAACATAGTTGGATCTTGTGGAATGATACTTAATCTAGACCTCAGATCATGCAGCCCAATTGAGGAGATATTGACGCCATCTATTAGCATTTGACCTGCACAAGGTTCTACAATACGGAAAAGTGTTTGTATGAGAGTTGATTTTCCACTGCCCGTTCTCCCTACGATACCCGTTTTCATCCTGCCAGGGAAAGTGCACGTGATGCCTCGCAGAACGAGTGGCAAGTGTGGAGCATATTGGACCTGATGTTCCACCCGAATTGCCAGAAAAGGGAAATGTGTTGATGACCGTACCAAAATTGCAAAAGCATTGTTTGAGATACAACAGTGAGAAAATATTTTGTCACCTGCAGATCAGAGATACTAATCTCTCCACGTGATGGCCATGACGGATGAGGCCGATTATTGTCTATCACAAGAGGAGGCTCGCTTGAGATGCAAGAGTATTGAAGTATTCTTTCAACCGATATGATTTTGTTCTCCATATTGCACAAATTCCAAATCACCCATGCTAGTATCATGTTCAAATTAAGCCCGTATGTCACGGCCAAGCCTGCAATTGCTGAAGAGAAGAATAGAAGCAAGTTAGGAATTGTTAGTACATGTACACATTATTCATACCAAAACAACAATAAGACAAAAAGTAGTTACCTGGGTCGATAAATCTCTCAGGAAGAGAGATCAAGAAGATCAAAGAGATCCCAAATGTGAAAGACGAAAGCATATCTAAGCGAAAACAAAGCCATTCCATTGCCCCAGCACCATGGAACTTGGGCCTAGAGTATGCATCCGAAAGTTCCATATTGGTGTTGCGGAATCTTGATTCTTGATCGAATCCGCGTATCGTGGTTGATCCTGATATAGTCTCGGAAAAATGCTGGATCACTGGAGCTTTGCATACCCCAACCAACCTTGCTAGTTCTCGAGCAGAAGGTAGGTAATATTGCTTCATAAATAAATACTAGATGGTGAGCAGGTATCAAGCAACAGGCAAAAGTTACTGTCAAAGTAAAGCGTAAATGATCTGGAGATGCAAGTAGAAAAGTACTATTAAAGATGAAATCTGAACTGAAAAGTGCAGATTTATCCTTTTCTGGATATAAAGCATAAGGGTTTTGCAGTATGACTAGAGAATTCAAATACCGAAATCCATTACACACGAGAGGTTATTTACTTTTCTCATGGCACTGTAACTGTTAATGGGCTGTGATGATTACCTGATACCAGACGCAGGCCGCAACCACTGGGATAAAGATTATGAAAACTTGCCATGCAACCTGAGACATCACAGCAATAACTCCCAGGAGCTGAATCATTGAGAAGGCTGATGCGGCAACTCGATATTGAATGCTCATATCCACAGTACTTTGGTCGGTTGAGACCTGAAAAGAGATATACACAGTAATAAATTGAAAAATTGCACGGGGAACCATATTTATGTTTAATTAGACCATAACAACAAGCAGTTACAGCTAAGTTGACAAAAGCCTACTCTATGATCCTGTAGTTCTCAAATCGGATCTCTCTGGAACATGTAAGCATCCAGCATCGTGTAACTTACCCTATTTAGTATTCGTCCACTAGGGGTAGCATCAAAGAATGACATGGGAGCTCGGAAGATTGCAAAATGCAACTTATTGAAGAGTAAAGTGGCAGTCTTGTAGCCAGCAGTAGCCAGAAGTGAAGATCTGGCAAGAACGCAAAAAGCACTGCCGACTGCCAGCCCCATGTAAACAAGTATTAGCGTCAATCCAGCGACAGCAGGTTTGATGTCCTCCGACACTGGGGTTGCCCAGGCTAACCAATAATTGCTTCCTATTTGAAGGAGCTGAAAGAGAATCTGAGCCAGCAATATGAAAGGCACTAGACCTCCTCCATATGCAGTTGTAATAAATTTCCAGTACACCGGAAACCCGACTCTACCTTTCTCCCTCTCTTCTTCTTGAACAAGCTGACCTTTTGGCCCAACCATGCCATCTTGAACATTGCTGTTTTCATCCATCTCTATGGAACTTTCTGTTTCACCATTTTCAATGTTGACAGTAAATCCTATGGAATCAGGCCTATGTTGAGTGGAGTTAAGTTCCGACAAAGCCATCTTATGCGCACCTACAAGTTCCCTGAAATCGGCACCGGCGTGAAGAATGTCACTGTACTTTCCAGCTTCCACAATCTTTCCGTCTCTCATGACCTGGCAAATATATGTGATATCACTTGATACAATGACTACTGATAGAAGAGTAAAAGAAAATGATTCACTAGTCAGTAAGCACTCACCAGGATTAGATCAACCGTCGGTAAGAACTCTACTTGATGAGTAATATAGATCACTGTTTTTGAACTTAAAAGCCCTAGCAAACATTCCTATCACATAAAAGACTGGATCAAATATACTTCAAGAGATGTGGTAGAAAATTGCAGCCATTACCAATCAAATACGGTAAGTGACAAAAAGCAAGTTACCTTAAAGAGATGAGATCCGGTGTGAGCATCCACAGCACTAAAAGGGTCATCGAGAAGATAAATGTCAGCATCTTGATATATAGCACGAGCAATCTGCACTCTCTGCTTCTGTCCACCACTCAGGTTTATCCCTCTCTCGCCAATAATTGTTTGATCTCCAAATGGGAGAATTTCTAAATCCTTCTTCAAGCAGCAAGCCTCAATGATCCTTTCATATCTCTCTCTGTCCATCTCCTTGCCAAATAAGATGTTTTCTTCAATTTTACCGCTCTGTATCCATGGAGACTGAGCAACATAGGCCTTAGTGCCACATAACCTGATGGTTCCAGAGATCTTCGCCAATTCTCCCAGGATGCAAGAAAGTAAGCTCGATTTTCCTGAACCCACAATACCACATACAGCAACTTTCATGCCATTGCGTACCTTCAAATTTATATCCTTCAATGTTGGATCAGGTGAAGACAAGTCCCACGTGAAATTGCCTGCAGTAATCTCGACTGCCATATCAGCCATACCCTGAGGAAGCTTTTCAATAACATTGTTCTGCAGATCCTCCAGGCGCAGGAATGATGATGTTCTGTCAAGAGAAACCTTAGTCTGAGCGATCATTGACATTACATCAGGTAAAGAGTATATGGGATCTTGGAGGATCCTAATCGTTGCAATTGCAGATAAAATCTTCCCCGATGATAGTGGGATTCCCAGTATCAAGCATGCGCCGAATGTAGCAACTGAAACAAATGTGGGGGCACCATAGAAAACGAAAGAAGTCAATGCTTGTGTGTAAACAAACTTTTTTAACCACCCACTCTCAACATTCCTGAGTTCAACGATCTTGGACAAGAACTTCATCTCCCATGCCTGAAGCTTCAAAATCCTCATGTTCCGCAGGATTTCAGAGGTCGCCTTCATTCTTTTATCTTTTGATTCCATCAACTTATCCTGAAACTTCTCTAGGAACGAACTCAGAGGAACATTCGCTAACATAACGAGCACGGTTGCCACAAAAGCTGCAATGGCTGCAAGCCCGAGATCCTTATACAGGATTGCTAAGGCCAACCCAACTTGCAGAAGCACTAGCCAAGGTTCATGCATGGACCAGCTAAATTCACCAATCCGTTCTGCATCTACTGCCATAAAATTAATGATCTCTCCACTGGTACGGCCCTGTTTAGACTGGCACGAAAGGGTCAATCCCTTGTCGTATATAATCGCTACCAGCAGCGAGCGAGTCCTAATCCCAACCAGCTGCAGCCTAAACATCAACTGCCTAAAGCAAAGGCACTCGACAAGTTTCGCAACTGAAAAGGCCAAAACTAGAAGGTAACCTTTGCTGTTGAAGTTTTGTTGCCCATTAAGGTATTGGACAAAATCATCAATAAGGTAAGGGCCAACATACGAAGCTGGTGTGTATAGAAGAGCCAACACCGCTGTGGAAATAATTTCTTTCCATTCCGACAAAATCAAAGCCTTCGCCAGCCCAAACGAAGTCATTCCATTGCTTGAATTAACAACTGACTGAAGCCTTTTCTTGAAACTAGGTAGTGTGCCAACTAAACTATCTTGAGAATAAAGTTGAGGAATATCCTCCAGGTCCAATGCTTTCTTATTCCCTAAAGCAATTAGAGGACTCAGCCACGAGAAGGTTATAATGCTAAACAAACCCGCTTTTGAGTACGGGGTCACAGTTTCACCTCCTCGGCGCTTATTCAATTCCGCACCAACCGTAACTGAATCACCATTTAAAAGGGGTTCTTCGAGGAGATTGTCATCGATCTCAATTTTACCAAAGAACCCCACATAACAACAGAATAAACCAGTGACAACAGTGACTATATCAGAAATAATATATCGAGTTTGCACCGGAGCATGCTTGGCAGACAGAACAATGTCTATGACGAGGCAATAACATGAGATAGACAAGTAGAAACCCCACCAAACTCTCAATAGGAAAGGGAAATTTGACCCTCCAAAATTGGAGCTTTGGCCATACAAATAAACACCTAGAGCTCCCCAAGCAAGAGTTTTTAGTCCTAAATCCAAAAGACAGACCAATTTCTCTTCCGACCAATCATTTCTATTCCAGTAAAAGTAATTTGTCACACACAAGACCAGATTAAACACGGACAAACCTAAACAGCAAATCAAAGTTGGCTTATAGTACCAAAGTTTGCTTCTTCCGGGACTTTCTTTGGAGCCTTCAACATGTCGTGCCCATATATTCTTGCACGCCCGTGAAATCAAGAGCCCAAGCAACAAAATCAAGTGCAGAGAACCAGAGAAACCACGCAAGAACGTGGTCTTGAGCAGAAAACCGCCACCTGAATACATCAGAGTGGAGGAGTCTGAGAGAAAGTTTTCAAGAACCTGCTTCGGTGAATCGAAAAGCTCCATTCTTGACAAGCTCCTTGGGATATCAGTCAAATGGGTGTGAGCTGTACGCCTTCCATGAATGATAGAAAGGAGGTTTCTTGAGTTGACTGTTGACTACATGATAGGCGGGAATGAGTGGTGGCAATGGGGAGTTCAGGGTCCCGCTAAAATGCCCATGACAGTTTCCTTGTCTTTAACGGTCCATTGTATTTGCGTGCGGTTCGCAGTGAAAGGGCCGTGTTCTCTGTTTTTTATTCTTTTCGCAGTGCAAGACAACTGCACACTCGTTCTTAGGAAAGTAATTTAATGTTGACATTTAGAGTCAGAATGAAAATAATAACAAAATATTTATGGTGGCTCAACCCAATTATGAGTGACTAATTATAGTTAGGGTACGGATATAAACATAATTACAAAAAGACCCCATAACACATTTAAATTACACATTAATACACTCCCTTAATCCGAAGTAGGTGTAACAATTGAGAGATTGGATCTCAATAGCGCGTGAGGAAGTCCCTTGGTGAAGATGTCTACTAGTTGATCCACAACGTAGATTGTTGGCAGCAACCCGCTCTCGAAGAAAGTGAAAATCCAACTCAAGATGTTTGGTGCGAGCATGAACATGAGATTGTGAGCAAGATAGGTGGCAAATATGTAATCACAATTAGGGGTGTCAGAAACCGAACCGAAAATCGAACCGAAATCGAAACCGAACCGAACCGATCTCAAAATTCATGTATTTTCGGTTCGGTTCGGATGTCAGTTCGGATAATAAGTAAGAAAATTCGGTTAGTTGATTATTCGGTTTGGTTCGGATCAGTTCAGATCGGATCGGGTCGAATTTCGGTTTCTTTTTTATTTTCTTCCCTTCACGTACACCCTCTCTCCTCACTCACTGTTCATGATTCTGAACGCAACTTTCTCTCCCTTTTCTCTCTCTTCCCACTCACTTTTCTCTCTCTGCGTCTCCTTCTGATAGCTACGCCACAGACCATCTCTCTCTCCCTCTGCAATAATTCAGCATCCCAAGGAGAGAGAAAGAGCAAAAGGCACTGTTTCGCTCTCTTCTTCAGCTGCAGCAAGCTTCTTGGCTTTGATCTTTTAAAGAGATGTTTCGCCCCCATCACTTCACATGATCCCTCCTGTTTCTGCCCCTCACGTCTCTGCAATCTCTCTCCTCAAACCCTTTAACTTGAAGAAGAAGGGTGGTCGGGTTGGTCGGGAGCTTCAACGAGTGGTTGAGCGAGTACGGCAAGAGGAATTGCAGGTGCTTCTTGCAGAGAGCCAGAGCTGCGATGAAGAAGAAGAAGAGGAGTGGCGGCGGCAGCAGCCTCGGCAAGCCGCATCGGACTTCTCGGCCACCACCGCCTCTTGTACTTGGGGAAGCTCGCGGCTGCGGCGGAGGGCGACGGCGAGCTCGAGGACAACGTGGCCATGTCACCGGGCTGGGTCGGGAAGTGGAGGGTGCGAAGGGAAGAAGCGCAGAAAAAACAAGAAGGAAAACCGAAAATCGATCCGATCCGAACTGAATCGCGTTTTTGGTTTAGATCATATCCGGTTCGCGTGGCCTTTTGGTTCGGAGCAAGCACACACTCAAACGGTTCGGTTCGGTTTTCGTAAAAATCCGAACCGAATCGAACCATTGACACACTTAATCACAATAAATAGTGAGATGATAAATAATAAAAAAAAGGGGACCCTGAGCTCCCGAAGTAAACAACCAATTCAAATAGTTTCAGTAGTACAGTCAATTCACACGATACACGGCCTCTGTACTAGAACAGGCTATAGTGGGTTGCTTCCTGGTACTTTATGAAAATAGTTTGGCACTTAGAAAAACACAAAAAAATTGAGATGGGCCATCGAGTGTCCGAGCACCCAACCTAATCTGCATATGTATAAGTAGTCAAAGAAGTGGGAGAACATTACTTAATGATCAATCCGTGGGTGGATGTGCCAGCTGAATATTGGTATATATGTTTGACGGCCTGCATCCCAGGACGATCACTTAATTGGTGATCATTTTGGAGGAAAACTAATTATGAATTATATCAAAGATACTCTCCCGCTAAATGTGAGACTTGAGGCTATTGTATGAACTCTTATTGGGTGTCTCCTCACTTTGTTAGTAATGTTTAGGGTTAATACCACTAAAATCTCAAACCAGTATACTTATGACAAATTTATCCCAAACTAAGTTTTTTACCACGAAAAATCCCAAACTGGTGCACTTATGACAAGTTTACCCCAAAGTAATTTTTTGACTACAAAAAATCCAAAATTGATACACCCGTGACAATTTTACCTTCCATTAAATTGGATTTATACCACGAAAAATCACAAATTGATACGCCTATGACAAACGGAGGGTAAAATCCCAAACTAGTACACCCATCAACTGACACGTGTTATCCAATTTAGAAATTTGATAATAAAATTTAATGAAACCAATGGAGGGTATAATTGTCATAAGTGTACCAATTTTGGATTTTTGGTGGTTAAAAAATTAGCTCGGGGTAAATTTGTCACAGATGTTTGGGGTTTTTCGTGGAATTAACCCTAGTGTTTATCACATCACTAAATTTGTAAATCAGTTGTTCTTATCTCTAACCATTGTTTTTTGGCTTGTTATTATGTCTACCAACAGTTGAAAAAATTAATTTTACAATTGATGGTTGACACATGAAATAATTCAATTACATTGTCACTACTTCAAGTACAGACGTCATACATTCAACTGTCAACGCATAAATTATTCTTCTAGACATTAGATCTAATAAAAATCTCTATTCTTTAGATAATTATGTTTAACGGATTAAATGAAATGTTGCGTCATTATTCGTGGTTGGTCGTCAAAGACTCAAATATGATGATCAACGGGGTTTTTGAAAATGGCTTTGCGAATAATTAGAAGGTTTAAGATTATTGCAATTGATGAGTAAATCGTGTCGTTTAATTTTGTTGCCATAGTTGCATATTTAGAACATACAAGCCTATGTTTGATGACCCAATAAAGTGTTGAAAATTTTAAAAAAGTTGAACATTTGATGCGATTATATTTTTATTGATAATCATAATTAACAATATATTAACAAATTCAATTGAGTCAGAAAATCACTTGATAAAATAAGTAAGGAAGGATTACTTGACTCATTAAGAGAAAAAAGTAAATGATAACAATTAGAATATTACCAATTATATTGCTAAAATCTTTCAAATAATCACCACGGTTCCATTTATGATGAGCGATTAATGATATTCGGTCATCAATTTTCAGGTATTATCAAATAATTTTGTAATTTCTTACATTGTAATATATGACCAACTTAGGCATCCATTAGAAGCCTAAATAGAAATCACCGAAATGTCCACCTCACTTTCTCTCACTGTGTCCGCATCTTCCTCCTGCCCTGAATCTTCCCAAGTTCCGTATTAACAAATTGCTTTTCAACTTGAATGTAATTGGGTGATTGAGATTCCTTATGTCATCTTGCTGCATATTATGAATGTAATTCCACTACCAGTATCTGGTGAAAGTATATGGTAGGGGAAGCTTTCATTAGCTGCTTAGTACGATGAGACAATCAGCGAAAACGATTGGTTTTTTGTCAGAGAGATAATTTCATTGGATTATTGTAAGGAGTGATCCGAGGACATTAATTAAGTAACTCATTTAAAAAATTTACAGTCCCCATGCACTGATTGTTCTCGTGTTGTGCACGATTAATACTTTGATCGAATTTTTTTAAATAACCTATACTTAACAAGTTCCTTGAGTAGCCATCAAGATGGTCATATTTCACCTTTTATGCTTTGACTGATTCCAATTGGAACTATTGCCAAATTTGCATGATACGATGATAATAATAACCATTGTATTTCTTTTCCCCGCTGGTCACGATCATAACTGGGCTTCCTTGACTTTTTCTACCAATCAGGCTATCCCGTTTTCTTTTCTGGTTTTTTTTTTTTACTTATCAAATGAGCACGAGCCAATATTTCGGATGCTTGTACGCAATGTAAATTTACATTTTAAATTTGACAAATTCGTAAGACAACTTAATAAGTTAACACTGTGTGTATTCTTATAAGAAAGTAACTCTTTTTGATAAACAAAGAAGGGTTGTTATGTTTTACCCATCCTTGTCCATCCTTGGTCAGAGGTTTCTTCTAATCAATTAGTTAGTAGACCTAATGGCGTGACTTGCCAAGCCCGCCTAGAAAATGGGCTGAGCCTGGGCAAGCAAGTTGGGCCCAGGCCCGGGCCCGGCCCAACCACGGATTTTTCTACAACTAACGTGTTACATATATATATATATATATATATATATATATATATATATAGGGGAAATTATCAAATCAGTCATAAACCTATTGTACGGCGGTCAATTCAGTCCTAAACCTTACTAATTCTTGCCAATTCAGTCCTTCCGGCCAATTTTGACCGGCCGGCGCTGACGTGGCCGGTCAAAATTTTGGAAAATTTTGACAATATATTATTCGGAAATTTTGGGAAGAAGTAAAATTTAAGAGCTAAATCTTGCAATGATAATGCTTTCAACTAAAACATATAAGATAATTAAGTGAATAATCGTTTCCAATTTTCTTAGAAAAGACCCCGAGAGATGCTTAGCCTGACTACAAATTATTTGCAATGAGATTAAAAATTTGAAAATTAGGATTACAACTGAACCTTGACTAGTGAGATTTCACTACAAAAAAACCGCCGTTTTGCAACGAATTTTCCAACGAAATTAGCGACGAACAAAAATTCGTTGGTAATTCGTCATCGCAAATTTTTCCGACGAAAAATTTAAATTTTCGTTGGTAATTTCCGACGAAATTTTTTCGTCGCAAAAATTCGTTGGAAACTTCGTCGGAAAATTCATTGGAAAGTTCGTTGGAAACTTTGTCGGAAAATTCGTTGGAAAGTTTGTTGGAAATGTCGTCGCTAATTATTCGTTGCAAAAATCGTGGCAAAATTCGTCGGTAATTTTTCGTGATAAAATTCGTTGCAAAATGAATTTCCGACAAAATTAGCGACGAAAAAAAATTCGTCGCTAATTCGGCGTCGGAAATTTTTTGCGACAAAAAATTTGAATTTTTCGTTGGTAATTTCCAACGAAAACAGGGTCGTTGCAAAATTCGT